CTGAACGTTTAGCAAAACCATTAAAACCACTGCGATCAATTTCATCAAAATCATTAAAACGTTTAGCAAAACCAGCAAAACCCGAATGATCCATTTCATCAAAATTACGACGTTTAGAAAAACCAGCAAATCCTGAATGATCCATTTCATCAAAATCGGCTGAACGACGTTTATTAAAGCCAGCAAAACCTGAATGATCCATTTCATCAAAATCAACTATACCACGTTTAGCAAAACCAGCAAAACCAGAATGATCCATTTCATCGAAATTCATTCCACGTTTGGTTGGTAATAAACCAATCATTGGATCGAATCTATTGAAATCGAATGAAAATACAAAATTCGATAAAAATTATTGATGAAAATGATCATTATGAAAAGCAAATGACACAAACCTTCGTTTAGAATAACCGATCGATAAACCTGTCATTGAATCAAATGATGATCGACGATTACGTCTACCACTACCACCACCAACAACATTATTCAACGATAATAATGATGGCGATGATGAAAAAATGGATGCTAAACGTGCACTAACCTCACCGGAACTATAATTATCCAAAATACTAATTGTGAAAGTGAAAAAAAAAGAAAAAATGTCAACAAATGAAAAAAAAATAAGATTTGAAACCAAAAACACAGAGAGACATACCTAATATATTGCTTGGCTGTCAATTTGTTCGGTGTTATCAAATTGAATTTGTTATTTTCTATGTTCAAAAAAAAAGAAGAAGAAAAATATTTTGAAATCGACTCAAAATGTCCTGAATGTCTCAAACACAAAACACACTTACTAGATTTGATTTGTTCAATAATCCTTGTAAGCTCACCATCCATTAATCGATCAAATATATTGATAAATTGTTGACCATCCAAACGTTGTAATATGTTGTTGTTGGATTGTTTTAATAATTCTTGTATAATAATATTATTGATCGGTTGATTGTATGTCGTCGATGTTGATAATGGTGATGACGATGATAATGATGGTGATGAAGAAGAAGATGATGATGATGATGAAGATGTTGGTGTTCCTTTTGTTGAATCAAGCTTAGAAAAAAGGGAGAAAGTGAAAGAAAGATAGGTAAGTTTTTCTAGCAAACAAAACACGACGATGGTCGATATAAAAAAAACCAAAATTCCAATGAATAAACAAAATTCAATTGGGCAAATCTCATTGCAAATACAAACAAACAATCTTCCATCAAAAATTGATTTGGATGAGGATTGTTCATTTTCCCATCACAGATCATCATAGATCATGCAATTTTTTCAAACGCGAAAAAAAAGAAAGAAAAATCTCAATTCAAATCCAAAGATTCAAATGAAATTCTGTGATTCTCTCTCTCTCTCTCTCTCTCTCTCTCTCTCTCTCTCTTGCACACAAATTTGCTATTTTTAAAAAAAATTCCAATGAAAAATTCCTATATTGGCTATAATCCTTTGAATCCTCTCAACGAAAAAATTTGAAAAAACCCATCCATCCATCCATCCATTGGAGAGATAACAAATATCTCTGGGTTTATTATGTTTGTTTGTCAATGGCCAAAAAAAACAAGAAAAAAATTTTCTCTTTTTTGGTTAATTATTCAAAAAAATGTTTCCATAATGTTTTGATGTTTAGGGGGTTGTAATGTAAACAAAATGAAGTGCGGAGGGGGTGAACAAACAAGAAGAATTTTTGTTTTTGAAAAAAAAACAAAATTTTCAAAATTTTCAAATTTTTTTTTCGCCAATCAATAATGAATATAATGTGTATGGGTATGTCATTAATGAATGGGAATTCTTCTTTATCAGGATGTTCAAAACAAAAAAACAAAAAAAAAACTGAATTAAAAACTTTTTCCTGCCAACGGGGTGAAGAGAGAGGATTCTTTTTTCACTTAACCCCAATGGACATTATCTGTAATGAAATTTTTTAAAAAATTTCAAAAA